GGCTGTCAGGTTACTTGCGAGTGATGTGTATTTCAGATGGGAGACGGAACCAGACTACTGCACGGCCATCAAGAAAACAGCGCCCTATGACAAAGGAACAAGGCTGGTGGACTTCATTGACATGGTCATACTGGACTTCCTAATGAGTAGGTTCAAGTTTCCATGAATACACTTACAATTGTCACATCATGCATAGTGGGGACCACACATACCAAACAATGGAGGCACTCTCATCAGCATTTTAATATCCTACCCCTCTGAGGTTAAGGGATTACCTCGGCAAAGGAGAAGTGCTCACTGGGAAAGATTTGTGAACAATTAATGAGGAAAAACAGGTCTTTTGTGTAGAGTGAAAATGTATCGGATCTTTAGGGTCAGCTCATGAAAAACATACCTTTTGGAATTATGACCAAAATGTTTAACCGTGGTTTCATCTGAACAGAACACATTTTTCCCATGTTTATGGGAAATTGGAGAGAAAATATGGCAGTGAAAGCATATGAACAGTTGAAATTGATGTGGGGTTAATCAGAGGAAGTTTCAATGCTAAACTCATTAAACAACACTTGAATGTCACTATTTCACTTGTTTATTTTACTTTCCAAAAGATTTAGTTGCACAGGTTCGGTCACGTTAAGTATGGAAAACATTAAAAAAAAAAAAAAAATTGGCTGGGGGGGGGGTTACATTATAAAAACCTGGCATTTGGAGTGTGTAGACTTTTTATATTCATATGCCAACATGGAACACAAATTGTCAAAAGGTGGTGAATTCAAATGACAGAAAAATAATTGATGTCTGTAGTTCTACATTTTGGTTGTTTATGACCATGCATTTCTAAATTGTTTTTTATGACATTGTGAAAATTGACTATAAATTAGGAACATACTTTGAAGTCTGATATGAAATCAGGAAAGCACATTAGTGAAATTAGCTTTTTAACGTTGTCAAAATCTACCATTACACTTTTCAGCAAAAGTGAGTCAAGAATAATAACAGAATGACTTACATTGATTTGTTGTCTCCCCGACCGTTTTCCCTGGTTTCTTTTTGTTTCTCTTTTTCGTGAGAACAAGTTGACATTCAAGTGAAAAAAGTTCAATGCCAAAGCTAAAGTCGTGACAATGCAGTGACGTTCAATGTCAAGCGAAGAGCTCCGGATTTTCCATTGTTGCGTGTTGCCGTGGTAACCCCTATACAGGTGAAAAGAAAGCGTCTCATCGCCTTGCACTTCGGACCACTTTCATGACGTTATAAACCACAGAAACGACGAATTTGTCCATTTCGCCGTCCTACGTGATCGTCAAAGAACAGCTGTTATATTTAACGGGTCGCCAAAGTGTAAGTTCTGCCTTTTCTATGATACATTAAATTGTTTTATCGGGTAAATACGTCATGAGTGTTCGCTAGCTTCGTGAGCTAGCGACCAAACTTTAGCTAGTGTTACTTTTTCTCTTGTTAGGTTTAAAGATTTACTCAATATAATCCACCAGAACAAATACATTAATGAATGTCATATTCACCTGCCCACACTGCTCTTCTCACCAATAATCTTCAATTAGTGCTAGTTCGGTCGGGCTTTCATGGCAAATTTTGACGTTTGAAACTGTAATTTTGACCCATTGACATGTAAGAATAGGGATGGATATTTTTAAGTGAAACTTGCCAACCAATCGGAGAAGGGGGTTTCTTGAGTAGAAGACGAAATGAAAGGGATGAGGAGAGTGTTGCGAATTAATGAAATACTGTTTTCCAATCATTTGAAGTTTTTCTTCATATTTTCTAAAGGCGACATCACACGAAAAAAAATATTCTCAAAAAGGCCACTTTTTTTCCAACACAAAAACTAAATTCCTTCAGAACTCAGTGTCTGACTTTCAAAATTCTTGGTCCATTGTACTGAGGTTGAACTGGCCAATCCAACCAGACTCAGCAAATCGTATCATGTTGCTTTTGAAATGGTACGAAACGCCACTCATTTTAATATTGGAGTTCATTATTGCAGAAAAATTTAATGTAACTGAATATTAGATTTTTTTTTCTTATTTCTCTTATCTGCTGAAGTCGTTGAACACAAGATAGTGTCACTATTAGATGACCAAACTGAAAGTTGTGGATGGCACTTGCTAAATTATGACTAACAATCTTTCATCACTCTGTCCTTCCTTCACAAGATCAGGGAAAAATGTGTCAACACACAGTTGGTGAGCTTTGCTGACGATATTGGCGCAGCTTGTTCGCTGCCACTTCACAGGGAAGAGTCCCACCATGGAACCTCTGAAGCGTTCAACAGACTGCGGGAAGCCGAACGCTAAGCCAAAGAAAAAGGAACCCTCTACGGTTGGCAACAGTCAAGCCAGTTTGCCATCACTCTGGCCTGTGCCGTATTCTCCCTCGGCATCCTCGCTGCGCAGGAGCCTTTTTGATCCCGCCACCATCATTGCTGTTACAGACTCCCCCGTTCCGGTGGCTCAAGCTGGATCAATGAAAGTCTCGACAGAGTCAAGATGGAAGGAAAGACTATCAGGAGCATCTCTATCATGCACGGACCTATCTGATGAAGCAGCAAAGAGGTATTATATGGCGCGTGTGATATTCTGAATAATACCAATTCACGCGTAATTGTAATCACTCATTCAGTTTGACAGATAAAGATGAATTCAGAGTCACCATTAGGGATTTATTCAGTCTTCCCGCCATAATTGTGGGCGCATCCTCTGAAAGTTCTTGTTCCGCTGTTGAAGTGCAATTACCAGAGCTAAAATGGACAGAAAAGCCCCCAAAGAAGGCCTCTGCAATATGCACTAACATCTCCGTTAAGACTGCTGATGAAGCGGCACAAAGGTACGAGTGCGATGATAAATGAAAAGCTCGATAAAAGTTGAGAAACATTGCTTGATATAATTATTTCATAAGTCCGCATACTGTTTCAGTTTCACAGAGAAAGACGCATCAAGAATCACAAGAAGGGACTTGTTCAATCTTTCTGCCATTGGTCCGACCGCTTTCCCTGGAAGCCCTCGTGTTGTGGGATCACAGAAAGCCACCGCAGAGATAAAATGGACCGAAAAACCAAGACAGAAGCCCTTGCTATCATGCGCAGACATTCCTGTCACCGCGACTAATGAAGCAGCAGCAGCAGCAGCACAGAAGTACTTTACACATATGATTTAGATTAAAATTTTTTTCTTTGGTATTTCTTGAAAGAGACATTTTTAATACTCTCCCAAGTTGAACTGCAAATGAGCCAGGGCGCGCCCTACCCTACAGTATATACGGTACAGCTCAGTGGCAAGTCCGCTTTTCATTACCATGTTTACCAGGAGTGGAAACTTGAGCGTTGATGCAATAGACATACAAGTACTGCATTTAGATGCTGCACCGATTTAATGGATTACAAATCCTTGTGTCCGCCATCTTGTGGCAGTCATTTATCAAATAAGACTACATGTAATTTTTTACTATCTGAAGAATCAATGCTCTAGATCTCTGACCAGCATAGCCGATCATAAGCACAGAAATTTGGTGTGTGGGAAAGTATGATATAAATTAGCCCCCGCTGTAATGTAAACGTGCGGATAAAATGCACAACGGCTTGCTTCCAGGCACTTTTGCAGAAATAAGCCAATAAGCCTACTTGGTAATTTTTTTTTTTTTTTTTTTACTCTCCAGAGATCCCACTGGAGTACTTTTGCCTTGTTGAGCGCACTTTGCAATAAGCAGCAGTTTGGCAAATATTGAAAAATAAATCAAAAAAGAAGCTTCAAGCTCTTATTCCCGGGTGAAGTTCACGTCAAACTAAACCTTAAACAAAGAGATTTACACCCGCGGTATCTAAAATAGCCACATCGCTTTTCCTTAGGAAACTCTGTTTAGCTTAATGCTAACAAAGAATGCCAAACGCCATCGACTTGCTAATAATTGACATTGATCGTTATGGTTTTAGAAGCAACTGATATTTTACCAAACAGTGGAGCATAACATTTACACAATATACAGTAAAATGATGATTATTATAGTATCTTAACAAGTCATGTAGTGTAGTAGTAGAAGTGTTGTTCTTTGTTTGTCTACATGACTACTTTGTACTACCTCCTGGTAGCCAAAGTAAGCACCTCAGAAGGAACAGCACATTGAATTGGATTGTAGCATGAAATCATTGCGCACAAACAAATTAATTCTTAAATTCTGTTCACTTACTCTATATTTTGTCTAAAGTACAAGACTATAGAGTGCCATTTTTCCTTCTTAAAAAAAACAAAACAAAACACAATTTTTGTTTGTTTTAGGGCGACTCTTGTTGAGAAGGTTCCCATCACTGGCATGGAGATAGTTCAGTTTTTCCTCAAGGAAAGAGATGTGGGAGAACTAAAGGTGTTTTACTTGAAGGAACAAGAGGGTGACTTGTACAGGTACAGCTTGGCTTTGCTACACTGACTGGTTAGCGCACCAATAGGCAGCATAAAATGTGCATTTGTTGTCTCTTGTACTCAAGACCCTATGACCTGCGAGTGGTCGCAGACAGTGAGGCCGGTTCCGAGCACTACGTCTTCACCGTCAGTACAGTGCTGCACGTTACCCAGAGGGGTTACGGAGGACTTGTTTCTTTGGATGAGTGGCACAGGGAGTCGGTGCTCTGGACGGCGTTGCGGGCTATCCCCTTTTTTAGGGATTTCATTCTGCGAAATGCTGTCACTCTGTAAGTGTTCAGATTTACGTCAAAACAACGGGCTTTATTACTGTAGGTACACCTGACTGTGGTGTGTGTTATGCTGAATACCTAATATTGTGGTCACATTGTTTCTCATTTCTACTAGGTGGTATAAAAATGTGCGTGAGATTGTTTACAATCGAAGATCTGAGGAAGTGCAGGCTCTCCTGCTAACAAAGATCCCCCAGTACAGAAATGGCCTCCTCCTCTTATCCAGGTCAGTCTCAAATTTCACACTAGGTCGCTTGAATTTTAAGCCTTAAGCCATTGCCACTTGGGAAGTACAATTTGGACCTTAACCCCAAAAAATTCTGATAACCATAAAACCATAAATAGAACTTAAGTGGACCACAGGAAAGAGTCTTATCTGCTCAGCGCTATTAAGAGTATAGTAATAGTATTTAATAAGAGTTATTGTTATGAATTATCATCCAAATACACAAGAAGAGGCTCTCATATGCAGCATTATATCTGAAAGAACAACGACTGACCACTAGTTTGGAAGTCAACCTGTGTCACTTGGCTTTGGTGCTGCTTCTTTTACTCTCTTCTTTTATGCTCCTGAAATCACATGACCTGCCTGTGTTATTACTATGACTAAGAATATACTTTTCTACAGAAGGATAGAAGAACTGAAAGTGACACACTTGCTACCTCTGGATGAGTCAAAAACATACACGCTGTCGGAATTTCAGAAAAGTCTGGTGACCTGTAGGGAAAAGGTTCTAAACAGTCTAAGGCAGCTATCACAATTACGCATCGGCATCCTTAATAAGGTATTTAAAAAAAAAACAACGTTATTTATTTTAACAATGCCTTTCAAAAGTGGAAATTGTGTTGGAAATTGCCTTCAGGCCAAAGAGAAGAGTTACAAGGTCCTCAAGGAGCTTCAGGAGCACCTCTCCTATGCCGAATTGCCACATCATTGTTGCAAACCCGTGCATCTGCATCAGGCTCACCTGACTGAGCTGCAGAGGGACTTGGCACACGCCGACAGCATCCTGCAGAAGCTGGGCAATTTTGCTGCCCTCGTCAATCACCTCATCGTGCAGAGTCTTGTCACCGTCATCCAGAAAAATCTCACGCTGTTCCTAAATAATGTTCTGAAGGTAACGTAAACCTACCCTAAATATTAATCCCACCGAAAACCAGGAGAAACATACATATACAATCATTTACATTAAAAAAAAAAAAAAAAAAACTCGCGACATATCACCAAACAAAAATGTCACTTTCTTGTGGCACACCTGATGATTTCGTACAGAGGTTGGGACTCACCGTCCTGAATTTTTTTTGTCTTAGAGAGAGTATTCTCACTGCGGCTGCCTCTTCCAAATGGACCTGCGTCTTGTTGCCGGTCGGCTGACTCTCGACCCACCTTTACATTCCTTCCGAGAAACAATCACACAGGCGCTTCTGACTGCCGGCGATTCAATAAGCCAGGTGACATCTATGTTTCCAGAAATAGAAAGCTTTATTAACTACAAGTCTATGATCGTCTTTGTGACCTTTCTCTGGTAGATGTGTGACACTTGTGGATTTTTCCTGGAGATCAGCAGCGCACACGACTGTCAGGATGAAACATTTGACCTCGACTGTAGTCCATATGCTGGTGTCATAGACACTGAAGGTATCTTTTTAAATTAAAATGGATCTTGTATTTACTAGTTAAGTACAGCTGAAGTATACTTAAAAATGTATTGGACTTGAACATTTTATCATGTAGTCTACATGTAAAGTGAAATGTTTTAACTGAGTGAATAGCAACAAGCGTCATTCTCATATGTGATAATTAATCACACAATGTCCCAACTTCATTTGAATTGGATTGGTATGAAAAGCACGAAAAGGCCATAGATATAAAACAATCAAATAAAATAAATAAATAAATACAATAAAGTGCAGCGGTAACTGAGCGTGCCCTCTTATGGTGATGTTTCACTTTCACGAACAGCATGCACACATGCTTGCAATATCCAATCCCTTCCGTTTCTTATTGTATCTCACCTTCCCAGGTGAGGTAAAGGACGATGATGGAATGCCTGCTCTCCTGCGTTATAGCTGTTGTCATTGGATCAGAGAACAGCGCCCCCTTTGGAAGTCCATGACGACCGTGCAGGGCCACAAAATGCCTTACTCATACTATCCTCTATCCAAAGAACAACTTGCCAACGGCTGTTAAAACGTTACACGTGGCTACTGGATGTCCGTGTGTTCATCAGCCAGTGGAGCCCAGCCTCTTTAGAAAACATGAAGGGTCAACCCGCTTCACTGTATCAAGAGCTAATTACGAAGCTGCGCCAGTGGATTGAACAAATGCGCGCTGCCCCCTCGTTTATCTCTACCTCCAACCAGCTATTCATTATCCACTGCACCCATATAAAGGAAAATATAGGTAGGAAAATGACACAGAAATTCTGCTCCATACGCATTTGGTGCTAACGTGTACCGACAGATGATGATCATCAGCCTACGCTATTAGGCTCCTGTTCATTATCATGTATGTATGTGGATGCATAAGTTGTGACCTGATCCACTGCACCCATATAAAGGAAAATATAGGTAGGCAAATGACACCGAAATTCTGCTCCGTACGCATTTGGTGCTAACATGTACCGACAGATAATGATCATCAGCCGACGCTATTACATTATCATGTATGTATGTGGATGCATAAGTTGCGACCTAGTATCTATTAAAGCAGAGGTCTTTGAGGAAACGTAACTTTTCCATTCCTTACTGTCTTTTTTTCTAGGGCAGCAGTTGAGTTTGATAGAGAATGAAGTACAGGAAGAGTTAGTGAAGCAATTGAAACTATGCTCGGAGAGCTTTTTGCAGGATTTGGAGGAATCTCTTGCAACTCTCAGGACTGAACCCAAAGATTTGCATGACTTGCCAAAATATGTTGATGTGGTATGGACCCCCTAATTCCTCTTTTTTTTCCCTTTCAAACCTGCATCACCTTTCTTTTCTGGGGTGATAGCAATGAATGAATTAAACATAATTCTGTTCACTATCTAATGTTTTATTGAAAGATGAGAGGTGTTTAAGAGTCAAATGTGTCCTCAGGTGTGGAAGTCAATGAACATGCTGGCTGAAATGCAGAAACGTTTGGAGTACAATTACACCCTCCGGGACAGTATTTGCATTCACTATAGAGAGATGACCAATGAGGAGCTGAATTTGGAGAAAAAGGTTCAAAAAGACAACCCCAAATTTTTTTTTATGTTTTTCCATTCAATTTGTACACATGCTGTACTTTGTTAATAATGTTTGTCCTCTTCCATTTAGATGTTGGACATGTGGGATTGCTATAATTCTCACTTGAAGCAAGCAGATGGCACCTTGCGTTCCCGCCTTCCCACAGTGGCTACTGCGCTCTCCACAATGTTCCCATGGATGGCTTCCGACTTAAGAAGTATCGTCTGTAATGCTACCTCTGGTCTCTTTCTTGATCCAAGACAAAATGCCGAACGGTTGGCCTCTGAATTGAATTATATGAGTTTACGTGTGGGAACTGCCTCCTCCCATCTGGAGCAGCTGTCCAAGACTGGTGATATATTCGAAGGTCAGGAAAAAAAAGAATCACTATTTTGAAAATGTGTAAAGTAGAACTAACGAGAGTACCGGCTAAAATTGATGTCATCTCCTCATTAGAAAATCCAGTCGACTTGACCCATCTGACTGACATTCCTAAGCTCATTGCCCGCAAGGAGCTTTGGGACCTCACGGCTCTTTACAGACGATGTTTACATGAATGGAATACGTTCCTGTTCACTGAGGTAAATTTATGCGCCAACCCTCATTTTGTCGAAGTTGGAATTGTCCCCGCCTGGTAAAGCTCAACATTGAAATATTGTCCTCCTGCTAGCTTGCGTTAACACAAGCTCAAGAGCAAATTGTTCACTGGCAGCAGCAAGTTGCAAAGCTATCACACATCATACCCGCTGGTGACGCAGTGCTCCGGGAGACTTCAGAAACCATTGATGATTTAAGTTGTCGGCTGAAAATCTTGGCCAGGTTTCGGGGCCCAACAATCAAACCGAAACACCGGACCACTTTTTTCAAAGGCCAGTACCTGAATTGCATTATTGATAATGCTCTGAAAAGCGCAATGTATGTGAAAAGCTAAAAACCTATATTTCATGTGACAGGCCTTGGCTTATGGCATGCCTCCGATAAAAATGCAACTCTTGCGCAGCTTATTTATCAGCCGTTTGGGCTTCACCAGGAACTGATCAACAAGGTGGGAAAGATGTTGTTGCAGATGCAGTGCAGGAATTTATCAACCCACCAACCTTGCTGTGTGAATGTAAATTGGAAATGATGATCAAACCAATTCTCAAACTCATAGTAAGTCACTGCTGCGTTTCAGATCTGTAGCGATGCTCAAAAGGAGAATTCCATGGAGCAGACGTTTCAGAAAATTCAACAGGCCTGGACAAACCGTATTTTCCAGCTGCATTACTGTACAGGTCCTTGTTGGCATCTTGCTGATCCACAGATATTGACAAAGAATTCCACTTCTGACGCCTCTTGTGATGCCAAAATTATCATTGGTAAGTTAATAATGTAGCATGTAAAGCAATGAACATTTCAGGTTTTCTTCATGCATTTGATTGGATTGTTTGTTTTACTTTCCCACAACTAGGCCTAGAATTTCTCTTCTCTGAGATAGAAACGGATTTGATGACGATGACAAACATGCACAGCTCACGGCACAGTGTCGACTTTAGGTCACAAGTAGAAGAGTGGATGCACTTGCTCCAAGAGCTTGGTAAACACGTTACTCTGTAGCTCCAGCTATCGCAAAACAAATTGTATGAAACTTTAAAAAAACGTATATTATAAAAAGTGGTTTCCGCTGTGCCCGTGTAGAGAAGCTGTTGCATTTGTTTGAGATCTATCAGCAAAAATGGATCTTCCTGACTAAGATATTTCAAGAAAGAACCTTGGGTGTTCAAAGATGGGATTTGGTACGTGCAATCATGATTATGAGATAAACCAATATCCATGTTGCTGTCTGAACCTGAAGATTTTAAGTTCAGTTAAAAAAATTATAATAATAAAAATGACTTCTCTTTTTTCGTAGCTGGCACAATTCCGATCAGTTGATGAGCGTTTCAAGGCCATGATGTGTCACAACGCGGCTCACCCCGATGTGCTGAATCTTGTCCGTCCCAAAACGGGGATAGAAACCCACCACGGCGGCAGCCTTTGCGAAATTCTCCTAAATGAGATATCAACATTGAATGCTCTTGCTTGCCAGATGGCAAATCGTCTCCATTCTCGCTGCAAATTGTTTCCGAGACTCTACTTCTTGAGTGACCGGGAAGAAGTGGAACTACTATCTTTACAACCAACACCCACCTCTCTGTTACCCTTTGTACGGAAATTTTTTAAAGGGGTACAGTCGATGGATGTGGAGGAAATATCTGGAACTGTGGATGGACAGGATACACGCGACACACAGACGAGGGTACTTGGGGTCTTCGGCAACTTCCAGGAGCACATTATCTTCCTTTCTCCATTGGAACCGAATCACAATCTTTTGATTTGGCTGAGTACGTTTCAGGATCAGCTCAAGTTAACCATGGAACATCTCCTGATGCAATGCGCTGATGAACGAAAACAAGTCGAGCCATCAAATCTAGACGCTTCACATAAAAACATTCGTGGACATGTATTGCCAGTGCTTGAAATGACAACTAAATATCCTCTCCAGTGTCTTCTTGTCGCAGAGGAGACCGTCTGGTGCAGTGTCCTCAATCAAGCTTTCCAGGAATCGAGCACCATTAAGATGAGTGCGATTAATGAATTCAACAAGGCACAACTGGCAAATCTTTGCCGGTCCTTACGGGATGCTGTTGCAAGATCGAAAAGCGATGTACAGCTCTCAAAATACACAATGGCGTGCTTGCGTGCTTTAGTGCTCCTTAGAATTCAACATGCAGAGCAACTAACTCAACTCATGCAGGCGCAGTGTCAGCCAGGGTTATCTTTTGAGTGGCTGAGTTCTCTCAAGTATTATGTAAACTCGACGGGTCAGAGTCCAAAAGAAACTGATGGTCCAAAATGTTATGTGGACATTTTGGGCCGTAAGATTCCATATGGTTATGAGTATTTTGGTCCAGAAGAATTTGGAATGGTGCATACTCCCTGCACCGATCGAGTGATCATGGGAATTCTCCTTGCCGTGACGAGCTACAGATGTGGATTTGTGAACGGGCCATGCTCTTCAGGAAAGACAAATACAGTGGTCCATCTCGGGAAAGCATTGGGGAGAAATGTCGTGATGCTGCACTGCTGTCCAAACATGTCTCCTGATATTTTTCAAAAAATGCTCCTTGGTGCTCTTTTGACAGGGGCATGGTTTGTTCTGGACTCTGTGGACTTGCTGCCTCAAGGTGTCCAGGCGTCACTGGCACAACAGCTTGAGGACATTTACCAATCTTTCTTTGGGTTGTCGGGAAAGAGCAAAGATGAGGGAAAGAGTGCCTCGGGTTCTAAAAGCGCATTTCATTCAGAATTCTGCATGGTATTTTCAGGGATAAACGTTTCTGCTAGCCTCAACTATGGAAGTGTTCTCATATCATCAAAGGAATGCACCTCGGAGCTTTCACAAAGTTTGCGATTTTCCACAAGACCTGTGGCATTAACCCGTCCCGATCACAAGATCATTGTGGAGATAATGCTGACCTCCTTTGGTTTTAAGGAAGCCAAGTGTTTAAGTCAGCGTCTGGTATCCCTCATCAGCCTCAGCAAGGACTCGCTCTGTCTGCCGGTCTTCCTTACACAAAACCAGAGTAGCCACCTTGTCGTTTTGCAAAATATCACATCTGCCTCTCAAAAACTCTTCAAACAATTTGTCCGGCACGAGAAATTTTCTGGTAAGGCCAGACGGTCTTTTGTTATCCAAACTATTCTTAAATCTCCAGAAAATGAACATGCCGACGATATTAATGAGGCTCAAGAACAAGCCATTTTCTCTGGCTTATTGGAGGAAATAGCTGTTGTCAAAGCGATTCACTCAGTCTTGTCACCATTTATGTATGTGCCCACCAAAGCCTCACAGTTTAACTCCATTTTCAAAGAATTGTTTCCTATTGCAAGTCAGCTTCCCTTTATTCAACAATATACTCAGGATGAACCAAACTACGAACTTGAAGAAGCAGTGTCCGAAGAATTAGATCAGCTCCAGTTACACTCTAACGCGGAAACTATTTGCCAGGCTCTGACACTCTACCACACCTTGAGTTTCTCTCGTGCAGTTATACTTCTTGGACCCAGCGGAAGTGGAAAAACAACCTGTTACAACGCTCTGGCAGCAGGCCTCACTCGACTTGCAAACAAAACCGGTGAAAATACATCTGATGACAACAAGTTCAAATCGGATACCCCTCAAGCAAAACTACAGACCTCTTTTTCAAACTGGATCTCCGTCAACACTGTGGTCCTATTTCCAAACGCCATGTCCCATGAGGAGTTATTTGGTGGATTCTGTGAGAAAACCGGATGGCAAGATGGAGCTGTGACCAAGGCATTGAGAGATTCAGAAAGACACAAGACTGGAAAATTCGAAATGTGCAAAACGGAAATGCCTAGTCATGAGACCAAAGCAGTGAAATGGCTGGTCATGGATGGAGAGCCACCGGGAAAACCCTGCTGGCTAGATCACTTAAGCACACTGAGTGACCTTGAGAACCCATTTTTAAGCGTACCATCTGGTGAAACTCTCATACCATCCCAATCACTCTTCAAGTTAATTGTTGAGACCACGGATTTAAGCGATGCAAGCCCCTCCGCAGTGACCCGCTGCAGCCTCATTTACTTTACCGGGACTGACGTTTGGGATTCCGTGTGGAAGAGCGAAATGGATTCTTTCCATATTAGTTTCACTCTGAACCAAGCGACCCTGGAAATGTGGACTCAGCTGTCAGAAGATCTTTTCTCCAGCACTCTCAGTTTGCTGAAGAAGAACAATATTTCTAATAAAGGTCCACCCTCAACGTACGGCCTGGTAGAAATCACATCATTCATTCGAATCCTGCGTGCCCTCTTGGAACATTTTGCCAAGAAACACAAAAACAAAGACGCCATCGCTCAAAAAGGTATTACTACTCGCAAACTTAGAAATATGAAGAGATGTTGATTCCACCTGTTGTTTACTATTGTCACTGATTATTCCAGCAGATATGCCTCCAGGCGGAGATTCTGATAGAAATCAAGATCTTTTTTTGTTGGCTTATATTTGGGGTTTTGGTGGGCATCTCCATCCTCGGTAGGTAATCATTTTTTTGTTTGTGAAATATGCAAAGTTCCTCATGTTATATTTGCCACTGACTACAAGTGACACATTTGCTTTTACATATTTTGTCCCTCTTGTTTCAACAGACTCTGGCCTCAATTTGACATTGTTGCCCGCCAAGTACTTTTGGATAGTCCATCTAAAATTGTGGTTCCCCCCGAAGGGACAGTGTTTGAGTTATTCTTTAATATTGACAACCAGATATACTCTAACAACACCTTATTGACAAAGTCCATCACTCCAAAGGTTTGTGATTGTTTTTCTTTTTCTTTTTTTTTTTTTTTAAATAGAACAGACAGTTTACCAAATTGAATACATCACAAAAATATCACCGTCCCTACACAGTACTGGAAGTACACCTGTCTGCTCTCCGTCATGTTGGAAGCCATCCAGCCTGTGTTGCTTGCAGGAGAGCCAGGTTCAGGAAAATCGACTGTGTGTAACACCCTGCTGTGTTTTGATAAGCCACACATTAAAGTACCAGCTAGTTCTATACAGGGTCCCGCAGACTTGCGCCATTTGCTGTGTGGAATTAGCTACCAGAAGAGCTTTCAAAAAACCAAGGGTGTCATGACCAAACAGCCAGGCCTGTTACTTTATGTGGATGACTTGCATGAGACACCACGCGGTGAGTCAAAATCAGTACTGTAAAAAATATATATATATATCAAATACAATTCAGGCGACAATATTGTTTATTCTCATCATCATTGTCCAATTTTCATTTTAATAGATGTGACTGGGAAGACTTCAAAAATCTTAGAGACGCTACGACAAAGTGTTTCAAAAGGAGGGGTTCTTGCACTTGATTCTGACCACTTCAAGGTGCTCAGTCCGGGAGTCATCACCTACCTGGCTACCTGTTGTGTCTTTGAACTGGACAACCCCCATGTTAGTGTAATATCCTCCAGGCTATCACGTCTGTTCTCCATCTTTGCACTTCCAAGCTTAACCACAGAGTTCATCTTTTCTATTCATTCGCCTCAGCTTAAGCTCTGGATGAGGGATGTGCCATTTATCCCGAATGTGCTGGGCATGGTGCGTTCTATCATCCATGCAACAGAGAATTTGTATGAAGATGTTTGCAAGAATTTCCAGCCCACTAGACAAAGTCCCCATTTTTTACTCTCCCACCATGATCTGAAGAAGGTGTTTGAGGGGATGTGCTTATGGCAGCCCATCCTTCCAAAAACAGAGCCGCTAGACCCAAAGTTAAAATTGAAATGTTCCCCGGTCCCTCAAGAGCCTTTAGCCATGCAGCTCAACATTGTGCATCTTTGGATACACGAGTGCATGCGTACCTTTGGTGATCGGATAAACTCGGAAGACGAAAGGAATAAACTGCAATCACTCATTACCAAGACAGCAACGGCACACTTTACAGCACAATTGCGAGATGATTCCAAACTCGACGACCTCTTCCCTCCCAGCTCCGCTAGGCTCACTGCACGATTCGGCACCTCAGACACCCGTACGCCCCGAAGTCCAGCACAAGGACCAAAATCAGTTGCATCGACAGAATCGAATGCCTCAAGTCGGCAAACAAAGTTTCTTCAGCACTTGATGGAAACGGTGACGAAGCTTACCTATGGCCCAGAGCTTGTTGGGAATCATTTTCCTGTATTCAAACGTAGCTCTTATCAGCCACAAGATCTCAACGTGATGATACAGCACCTATTGGCACACATTGACTTGAAAGACAATGAAATACCAGAAGCCGAGAGGCACTTTGCATTCAAATACACGGTGCACAGACAAAGGATTTGTCAGATGTTGCATATTTTCAGGGCTCTGCTCATACCTGGAGGTCACGGATTGCTAATGGCCTCAGGTAGTGGCACAGGACGTAAGACCACCGTACGTTTGGCGGCCTCTGTTTCAGGCTCCCACCTGATGGAGGTACACGCTGGTAACGAGAGTGAATTGAATAGGATTTTAAAACAAGCTGGGAATCGAACCCGGGTTTATGAAATTAACACCATCATTCTGGTTCATGAGAATATAAGCTCCTCTGTCAGAGAAGAGCTCTTGGTGGCCCTCAGGTCCTACCCGGGGCTGTACACAGACCAGGAGCTGGCCAAGCTTGTTTCAAGGGTGACCGCGGTGTATAAAACAAAAAGATTCCTTTTGGACAGCTGGATTTTTGACAAGTAAGGAGAAAGTATTGCATTACACAGTTAGTTTATACTTATTTCTACTCTGACCTAAACATGTGACCTCTGGTTGTGTTAATATAGGTACTTGTGTCAGAACCTCAGAGACGTGCACGTATTCATTTTGATGCCTGCCGTTGTTTCAGCCAACAGTGGAAACAATGAATACAAGGTTTTTGGATTGCTTACGCTTGTTTTATTTTTAATGTAAATGTGCAATAGCTGCATCGTGTTTTGCGAGCTCGACTAACATATTGTGGGTTCTTATCAAAGCTGCCTAATGGTATTTAGAGTCTAACCCTTTGTCACCTAGGCACAAATGACCAAGGCTTTGGGCCTCTGCTGTGTGGAGATGTACCAGCCTTGGTTCAATCAGTCTTTGGCAGAAGTTGCTGCTCACTGCCTGAAAAACATTTACCACAATTGTAAGTTAAGACTGCAAAAATCTTTTTATTTCTATTCAATGGCAATGATGGTAAGATAACTACGGTTTTCCCCTTCAATTCAGTGAAAATACAAGGCTCACAAGATGGCCTGGCCATCGCTATGGCAGGAATCCACCAGTCTGCATATCAATACGCTTCTGTTCTTCTGATGGCACAGCCTTTCAGCCCTTACACATTTATGGCCTTCATTTCCCACTTTGGTTACCTCTGCAAAGTTATGCTCAGTGAATTGGAGAGCCGATCCAAAAGGTAGTGAGTTTCCTCATTTTACTCTTCCAAATATCCTGCCTTTGTGTTGCGCTGTCTTAATCAAATAGTGACTTTTATAAGACCCCGGCGGTTAGCATTGATGCTAGTCCTGGATAATATTTTTTGTATTTGTTGTGATCGGTAAAAATAAGTGCTCCGCTATGATGAATATTTTATTTCAATAGACTTAACACTGGTCTGTCTCATTTGGATGCACTGGACAACACTGCCATGAAGTACAAGCAAGAGTTAATGAGGATGCAGGGAATAGTTGCTGAGATGCAGCAGGTTGAGTATTTACACTTCTAACCATAACTGGATACATTATATCAACTCCAGCGCAGAAGTTAAATGTGGTGCATATTGTGTCATCTCCCTTTTTTTTTTTTATAAATATTAATATTTACAGTTACTGTAGTCTGTGTTTCTCCTGTCATGGCACATTTTCAATACTGGATTGGTATTCAGCTTGTGCTCCCCTCGCCTTTATCTTGTTTCAGCGTGTGGATGAGCTCCTTGGAGCCATAAATGACCAGAAGACTTTGCTTCATAAAGCTGAAAAGAATTGTGCTAAACAGGAGAGAAAAATACAAATCCTGGAAGACCGCATTGCTGAATCTGAGAACGAGGTGAACACATGAAATATCTGTTTGCAAGACCTCAATGATGACACAAAGCAAGTTCATAAAGTGGTGATCATTTTCACTCATTCTTCCCAGCTGAGCCCCTTTTTCCAGGCAGCACTCGATGTGCTCCATAGTCTGGATCCGTTAGACCTCGAGGAGGTGCGTCACTACCGAGATCCACCTGATGGTGTGGTGCTCGTGATGGATGCCGTTCTTTTGCTCTTTGATCGACCATCTGGCTGGGCCAATGCAAAAAAACTCTTTGGACAATGCAACTTGTATAAGGTATCTTTTAAAAGCATTAACCACTAATAGATTCTACTAATTTGCCATATTTGACACATGATGAATTCATTATATTTGAAAACGTCACTACAGTTGTGCCTCCCAAGGTTTGAACACATGGATACAGACATTTTACCATTGGAAATGATGAAAATTCAATGAATCGGTTGCAGGGTCAAAAAAAAAAAATCCATGTACAGTGACATTTTTAACAAACATGAATGTGCATGAATACAATTAAGCATTATAAAATTAAACAACATTATTTGCCCTCATTGTGAGCTCTGGTGAAATGCAGTCACACATGACAGCGTTTTGAATGGTGGAGAATTTTTGAAGCCCCTAAATTGTGGTCATATTCGCAAAAGTACAAACCTACACCCTCTAAATGTATTTTAATTGCAGATGGTCTTTCTTTGGCTTAACACTTTGCAACTCTTCTTTTTTTTTTAACCCAGTGCCTGGAAACATTTGACTTCTATAGCCTTACGGACATACAAATGCTACAACTTGGTGAGTTAATTCAAAACCCCCTGTTTGTGCCGGAGTGCATCCGCGAGGTGAGCAACGCCTGTGAGACTCTCTGCCGCTGGATCCTTGCTGTCAACAATTGCGGCTCGAGGAGATACCAACTGATGGTCAGAAAGCAGCTTGACTTAATGCTCGTAAGGGCACAAGATCAACTTGAGCAGATCAAAGAATACATGGAGGAAATACACCGTTGCCTCGAAGAGCTCGGTGTTCAGCTCCAGCCGGTGCAGGAATTGCTGGATGAGCAACTGGTGCTTCTACACAAAGCTGAGTGCCTGGAGAGAAACGCTGCTAATGCTGTGAAACTCTTGTTGAAACACACAAGAGTGTGGAGGGCTGAAGCTCAGGTAACACTGTAAATACACAAATACAGCATCTTAGACCATGACCCTTAAAAAAAATAAATGGCATGGAAATCATTTGTTTTGGGGAAAAATGCACCCAAAGTGCGCATGTACACGAACATGAGATGAAGAAACTCTCTTACCTTTACTTACAAAGTATGTCACTCGGTCGAGATGTATCACTTCAACATGCATCCTTGACGCCAATTCTTGTTGAATCAGTGCTTCAGTGGCATCTTCATTAAAAGGTGCAACTCAGTACTTGGGTCAAATTGGTATCTGTTACTGTGCTGTATTTTTTTTTTTTTTTTTGCCTACTTCAGGATGCACAGTTGCAGAGACAATGCTTACCAGGAGACGCCATGGTCCTGGCCGCCATCATCTCATATTTAGGCCCCTTTGCAGCTGATGTACGCACCGAATTGCTGAGCAAATGGAGGGTGTTGTGCCAGACAGGAATTATCGATGCAAATCCCACGGACCCCAGAAGTTCCCTGTTCACGTCCTCTGACCCGGCAACTGCTCAGCTAATGTCGGGTTTTCCCGTCACTCTGTCCGGGACGCTGCAGCCTCTTCTATGTCGGGTGTTGGGTGTGAAAGACTGGCTGCCTCATGAGACGGCGTCCACCAGATTGGTGGTGAAGCTTATGCTGTGGGGCTGCAGGAGCAGTTGGGTTAAATACTGGCCTCTACTGGCTGACACCAAGCATCATCTGGAGATCAATTCTAAAAATGGGGTCATTACAGGTTTGTGTTTTGTTGGTCACAAGTTGGTAGCGTGTTTGTGTTGGTTACTTTTGCCCATTCGAGACCATTACAGGTCAGGATCATAAATTGAAATGCTACTGAAGAAACACATTTTGTCGATTTTACAGGCGAAACAGGAGACGATGTGAGTCTTGGGAAGGAGTTTGAGTGTGACGTCGTGGTTTGTGCTGATGATCCAAAGCTCATGTGCCACTTGGACCTGGCTGCTGAGAAAGGTAACTTAAAGCGGGAACTGCAATCATCATACGGAAGAACCACCCAATTGGAAAGTCCGTGAAATTTTAAAATTGGGAATTCGACCAAAATTCTGGAAGTCCAAATGTCAGAAGTCAAACTGTCATTATCCCTGACATCTGGAATAAAACTTACGACGTATATAAACATGAAATACGTCTCCGTCGGGGCTGTTTAGTAAGATATAGCTCAGTCGACCATAGGCGGGGCAATTTTATTTGTAGAGCACCATTTCTGCAGAAATGGTGCTCTACAAATACAAATACAGACAAAAAAAAATTGTGCTTTACTGACGCAGATACATAATTAAAATTAAGATTAAATGAAAAGATAAAGATTACGTACGATGAACACACTGGTTATCTTTTTAATTTCATTTTTTTTCTATGGGGGAAAAAAACATGTTTTAAAACAAACATATTTAAGGTTGACCGGTATTCAAGAACGGAATGCGTTCAACCTCAAATGTTCCATATTTGGAGTTGCCGGGTGCATCTCAATAAATGTGACTGTATGGGAATTCATTTCACTATTTTAATTCAAAAAGTGAAGCTTCTGCTGAGACCGAGGCAAGACCGAGTAAAAATGCCTTCTCTTCCGAGATGAGACCGACACCCTTGAAAAGTGCTCATGAGACCAAGACCAGACATTATTAGAAGTACCAAGAACTAAACTGAGGCTCAGAGGGGATCGAGCCTTTTCTGTTGCTGGTCCCTCTCTCTGGAATGACCTCCCACTGAACATTCGGCAAGCCTCCTCGCTGCCCATCTTCAAAACCCGCCTCAAAACTCACTTGTATTCTTTGGCATTTGACTCAGTATGACTTAGATTGTTCTTGGTCTTGCTGTTCGGTGCTTTCTACTGTTTTTATTACCGATTTGCTTTACTGTTTGTTTTAATTTGCTCCATGTACAGCACTTTGTATGCAGCGATGGCTGTTTGAAAGTGCTCAATAAATACAGTTGAGTTGAGAGTTGAGTTGAGTATCACTTAAGTCGGAAGTATCATAAGTTGAATGAATCTGTCTAACGTAAATTCCACTTTATGAATTAATCGAATGAATCAAATGACATTTTGGATGATACTCTTTGAGAGGCACCTACATGTCCTGTTTTCATTGCAGGCTTGAAAATCCTGGTTACTCACATCGAGCGAGTATCAGTAAGTCCAGAGTTTCTCGCTACTTTGGCCCGCCCTGCTGCGAGTCGCCCCCCAGGGTCAAAACCTACTGCCCACCATACCCACCCACAGTTCTGCCTCTTGCTCAGCACCCACTATCCTGCCCGACTCCTCAGCAGTGGTAGGAAGCAACAACTGGAGAGTTCTCTTCTTCCGGGAAAACATGGATTTTGAAATAGACCCCACGAAGCGAGAGCTAATTGTGCTTACTTCCTGCTCAGCCATCCATCCATCCGTGCTGGCTCAGGTGGATGTGGTTGACCTCTCGCCAAGCTCAGATCAGATCCAGGAACTCATGCTGACTCAGCTACTGCAGTCGGAGTGCAAAGTGCTGCTGATTCAACACCTGCGGATGCAGAATGACAAGCAGCTGCTGCAGAAGAAGCTGGTGACGGAGGAGGTGAGTCAGGCAGGCGTTGACCGTACGACGGTATTCCTCTCACTACTTCAAGTCATTGGTCCCCTTATTAAATGTTGCCATCACTCACGTTTGTATCCTTTCTGCCTGTCGCTATCATTTGGCAGCATTGAGCTGAATCAGTTCTTGCTTGAACGAGCTAATTATACAATTACGCACACTCAGATTTAGATAACGGTACAATCAAATTTGCGCTCTTCCCAATTTCTGAGTTTGGACTGGCAGTTACTCCAAATCAAACAAACTAACAAAATACATAACTAAGTACCGGTATTTCATACATAATTCCTATGTGAGTAACTGAAGATCCTGTTATCGTTGGACATTAAAAAAAATTCAAAAAAGTAATACATTTAATGGGATGTCCATGAAACATATTAGTTTTTTATTATAAATAATGAATGAAAAATGGTAATTAAACATTGTTGTATCGAAATTCAAGATTATTTTTCAACTTAAATCATTCCTCAATTCTAATTAAATTACCTACACTGGTCAACACCAAATTTTAATTTGATTAAAAAAAATGTTGAAATGTTTTTGAGATATTTTCCTTTTTGTTATTACATTTGATAAATAGATTTTACAATGAATTAGCCAAGACATTTCAGAATTTTTTTTACATTATTATTATTATTATTATTATTATTATTATTGTACAAGTATAAAAAAGAACTTGCCGTGGATCTAAAAAGTCTACGCCCCCCTTTTCAAATGGCATGTTTTTGTGTTAAAACCAAGACCAACATAAATCATTTCAAAACTTTTTCCACCATTCAAGCTGTAACCTGTACAGCTCATTAAAAAAACAAAACGAAATATTCACGAGAGGGGAAGAAACATAAACAACTCAAATAATGTGGTTGCACAAATGTGCCCACTCTGGGGATGTGGCTGTGTTCAGAATTATGAAATCACATTAAATGGGAGTCAGCACACACCTGCCACACCATCTTAAAATAAATTTCAATTTTTATCGGGAGTTAAATTACATGTACCTTGACAATACTCCGTCTTTTTGTAGGACTCTGTGATGGACTCAGTCCTGCAGTCCGACACCACACGAATGCAAGCGCCCGAGTTCCTCACCCAAGTGGCTGAGGTCCAAGAATCAATGTCATACGCCCGGACTGAGTTGCAGCTGGTTGATGAGAGGAAAGAGTTCCTCGAGCCCCTGCTGGCTGCTCCCCAGCAGTTGATAAAGCTGGCTTGGCTCTTCTACCAGGCTTTGCAGGAGCTGTCCCGCCTATCCTCTGCCTATTACTTTCCATTATCCGCCTTTATGGCAGTGATGCAGGAAGCCTTCGCTGAGAAGGCGAGTAGGCTTGTGTCATATGGCACCGGGAAGGTGATGGGAGGAGTAATACCGGAGATACGGAACAAGATGGTGGCAAAATTGATGTTCTACTATCGGCCATGTCTCTTTCGAAGCCACGGTGCTGTTTTCAAGCTGTTGGTGACTTTGGCTGTGATGCACACCAACCAACTCTGCTCTTTACCGGAGAGGACAGCTTTCTTATTGGGATTCAAAGATATTCTTGCTCCTCCAGCTCTACATTCCCCAAAGGACAATCGAATATCCCCTGAGGGTGACTCTGACCTCCTCGTTTTAGAAAGGATCCCAGACTTCACAGGATTGACCGCTTCTCTGACCTCCTCGCGCAAGGAGTGGCAAGATTACCTGCGCTTGCCTTCCGCCGTCATAACAGAACCGGTTCCCTGCGGATCTCACCGCCATTTGTCCTTGATGCAGCGCGCTCTCCTTTTGAAGACCTTGCACCCGCACTCCACAGAAGAGCTCGCTGAGGCCATGGCGGCCTGCCAGTTTCGCATACCTCGCAACCCATCAGTGCCTCACTGCGGCAACCCAGGGGCTCTTTACAAATTTCTTGTGGAGCACAAGGGACCCATCATTCTAACATGGCCTTGTCCATCCAAAGATAAGTGGACAAGCATTCAGCCTCTCCACTTAGTGAAGCTCTTGGCCTCCAAGGCCACAGAAACAAAGGAGGTAAGGATAACGGGGTTTCATGGGATATCGTTGACATATTATTATTTTTTTAAATAATAAATATTTGCGGTCCAGGTGAAAGTAATTTTTGCTGGAGGACTTTGTGACCAAGACTTCATCATCTACACTCTGGAAAAAACAGTCCGAGACGGTCACTGGTTGGTTTTTAATAACTGTCACCTGGTGGAGCATTGGGATGCTAAACTCGTGGCACGTTTCAATCAGCTGTTTTCCCCTTTTGGAGGTAAGAGCGTTACGTCGGATAATAGAAATTGGATTAGTGTGACAGCCATAAAGCAGTCAGGGACAGAAAAACGGCTTGCCAGATGGCCATTTTGCAATGCTGCGCATGTCAATAGGCGAGCCATGAACAAGGAAATGATGTGCCCCCCCAAAAAAAAAAAACTCCACAAACCTGCCGAAATGCTGATGGCCTCACGTCTTGCTGAGTCATACCTTTAACGAAATAGAAAACATTTTATTGATTCTTGGCAGACCCTCTCGGCTAATTGAACGCTGCCTCTTAATTTCCACAGCAACAAAGCACATAAATATTCCTCATCCAGACTTCCGAGTGTGGTTTCTAACTGAAGAAACTACTCAGTCCTTCCTACCCGGTAAATTTTCTCATTTATCACTTCTCCCCTTGTGGTGATCTTATTTTTTTTAACATGAGAGACCACCACACATCAAGTGGAAAAACTGGCAAATGTATGCGCCGTAAAGATTTTTGTTCCTCTGTGTATAAATTGTACCTCGTTTCTTTTGTCGCCACATTTGAAGAGATACTTGCCTCTGTTGTCATAATAATTATGAACCTGGTGTAAATTTCATCCAGCATCAGTGCGATTGCATGGCCTGCCTCTGGCTTGTGATGCCTCCTGGACCGTGAAAGAAGAGTTGAGCTGCTCCTTACAATATTTGTCATCCGTCACTCAGTGTCACTCGGAAAACCTGGCCGACAGCACGCAGCTCCTTCTGCGCTGCACAACTTTCCACTCTGTGTTGGTACAGAGAGAGGCCTACAAATACTTGGGCCAGGCCAGAATCTACGGCTGGTGAGAACTCAAAACATGTTGTGACTAAAATACTAAAATCTTCAAGATTTGTTTGTTTGTTTTTTCTTCACTCATTTCAACATGGAGGAGCCAGTCAGATCTTCTAGCTTTGGCGGACGTACTCATTTCTTCCGCCAGTCTGTGCCATGACAAGACAAAAGCTTTGCAGTACATTGCAGGTAATGCAACATGGGCATGAAGGTGAGCCAGGGGACATATTGTGGTAATTCATTTTTTAGGAGTCAGTATGTGCGAGAGTATTTTATTTGATTGTGTGAAAGTATTACAGCAGTGTAGACGTCGCTTGCATGTGACGTCACTTGCGCTTTGTATTCTTCCACTCACCATCTTCGGTGGATAGCATTCGACTGGACTGTTCATTTGATCACAAAACACGCTTCTCGGCTGTTCTTAAAATGATGTGCTGTTGCTACTTCATTTGGTGTCATCATGCCAAGAGTGAAAAAGGTTGAAATTCCATGTGTATTGGAGCATTTTAGTAGTAAGTGTGAGAGCTTTCACGTGTGTGTGTGTGATCGTGTTTCAGTTGTGTGTAGGCGAAATAAATTTAAGTCGTGGGAGTGAAAGCATTTACGATCAGAAGTACTGTATATGCAACGGGGGCAAAAAAAAAAATCTGAAATTTGTGTCCGACTGAGCGTTTCAGTAATACATGCAAGTGAAAAAAATTGAGCAGTGTGCAGATGAGAGCATTTAAGTGGAGTGTATGAATTATGAAATATGTCCCTCATGACCTTTCACTCCAAGCTGTACTGAAAGTTGACTCACTGTGATGGTTTAAGCATGTTTATTTTCATTTTAATTCTGACATTTCCAGTCCACCTTGTGCATGGCGGCCATGTTTTGGAGTCTGTGGATTCAGAGGTGTTGCAGAACACTGCAGAAACCTGCTTCAACGCTGCACCAAGTCTGGCGAGCGGGCCACACATGCTCGCCAATGTCATCATCAGCACTGAGCACCGGGGTAACGTGACACAGTTTGCAATAATTCTCTCAAGTCAAGTACAAGAATGTTTTGCATGATAGCATTAGCAACTGCGCTAGCATACACAGTGTGTCTGTGTCAGTCAATTAGGGCTGGGCACTGCAGCCTGAAAATAAAATATTTGTTTATTTTCACAATAATCCACGATCCGTTTTTCACCTCTTTGCCCATAGCAAAAGAAAATGACAGTTACATGATTCAAAATTTTTGCTTTTTCATGCCCTTAGATTTTGACAAAATCCTGCGAATACTGCTGCCGCAGCTGCTGCGTGGCGTGGACATCAGCGAGCCTCTTCTGTTGGGTTTCAGTGCTGATGTGGAAGCTGAAATAGTAAAAATCAACAGTCACAATCTGAACAAGATGCTCCAGGCCTCCCAGACTCCTCAAGGGCTCGCCTCATGTTCTCGCAGCGGACTGGCGATGCTGCCGGAACTTAGCCAGGCTACAGAGCGTCTGCGCGCGCTGCAGGATTACCTCACACACCAAAACGAAATCCGATCAAGAAACTCCGGAGCTGTTTTCCAGAGTCCCCTTTATGACTTCCTCCTGGCCGAGTGGCATGAGCTGAGCGGCTCGGTGTCCTCACTGCTCTCTCGGCTCCAACAGCCACTTCGGTACATGACGGCGACCTTCCTGTCCCTGCCCACGCTCACTGCATTGTCGCGCATGCAGAGACGGGCGGAGCTGCTTAGCGCTTATCTGTGGCGCGACAACAATTTGGCACCTCGCGCCGCCTACCGACTGTCTGCTTTTGCCAATGCCAAGGGCTTTCTGGTGGCACTGAGGAGAAAGGCCGCTCAAGTGCATCATAAGTACATCAGTGATATCGCTCTGCAGATCGAGGTAATGCAACACAATCTTGTTGAGTTAGGTTTGGCCGCTGTTTTTAATTCATCCAAAACTGATCTCAGTTTTTCTCTTAACATGTTTTTGAGGTGTATGATCCCTGTTTTCTAGGGGTGGAAAAAAAGAAATAAGTGTGTATATATGTAAATAAAACACTCAGGTTTCTCATTCTCCACCGATTTTTTTTTTTTTTTTTACATTGCCATCCTTGGAGGAAAAAAAATGATGCGTTATAATTATTCTTTTTTTTTGGTTGTAATTTTGGTATCAGTGCCCCAGATTTAGCTTTGATCAGTATAAAAATTGAACTCCACAGATTTTTTTTCCCCTGAATTTTCCATTAAAAAAAGTCATTTAAAATTTAGAAACTAGGTACAAAAATATGTATTTCCCCATGTGTAATGAATCTATCATGTTTTAGTTTTACTTTTTTGAATTGATCTATGAAATAAATGATCTTTGATTTTCTGTTTCATTAAAATTAGTTCTTTCAATAGAAAAATAAGGAAAGCATTTGAAAATAGGTTACATCGCTACCTTGGTCATCTCAGCCCTGAAATATTTTTTTCCTGCCTAAATATAGCATCACTGACTTTTCACCACTGAGAGGATAACCGTCTTCTCATCCTTCCAGGTTCGTGACGATCCATTATTCACCCCACGTCCAAAAGAGATAGTGGACTTGTGTGACCTGGAACTAAGAGGAGCATCGTGGGACGTGCACAGGACAGCCTTACAAAACTCGCTCTCTCCACAGCCCTGCCCCATGCCTCTCATTTGCATCAGGGCACAAGTGAAAGATGCACACTTCCCGCGTCCCCCGAGCGCCGATCAAGTTTATCATTGCCCGATTTATTTGGAGGATTTGGACACTGGAGAGGAAGGGCGAGATGACTTTAGCATTGTCACAACGGTTCCGCTTCCTAGCGAGTTACAGCCTTCCTTATGTAGTTTACGGAAGGTTCGGCTAGTGAGCAGGCTTTGTGATACCGAGGTTTGTTCTTAGCCTTTTACGCAGAGATCCCGTAACAAAGCGGAAAACTAGGCTGTTTTACAGTGGCTAGTGATACAACATTGACGTGTGCAACTGAAATCTTTTTTTTTTTTTTTTTTGTACAAAATTATTTATTGACACACAAATGTATGTATGTGGTGTTAGACTACGAGCTCTTCAGAATATATTCATCCATGTTGCTTTTTCATTAAAAAGGTTCTCTAGTCATAATGATGCTGACAACCATTTTGTTTGATTTATTACAAAACAGCATCGGCAACATCATACTTCTTATTGGACTGTCATATAGTTGAATCTGAAAATGTCATGCTATTACTCATTCTAATAATGATTGATAACACGTTGCTCCCTTTGTCAGACTATTAATCATTTTAGGCTGGACTATGAGACCTTTTCAACTTTACAAGTTGGAGGTAGACTGGCAACCTTCTGTGAACTGTTTTTGCCACCTGCCCAGACCTTTTCCTCCTCTTCCATACTTCAGCTCTTTCCGCAAGTTCACTAACCTTCAATGTCTTTTCAAAAGTCCACACTTCATTCGTAACGTGGTGGAATCGCGACACCATTTCTTGTTGAGTATGATGAACAAGTTATTTTAAGCAATAGGTAGTGGGCCTTCTTCAGTCCTGCTCTTCTGACTCATCCTCTAGGCAACATGGACAGACACCACTACGAAACATTCGAAAAGTTCGGCAATGACACTTTCCTGCTGCACCTGGACAACGGCCGGGCGTGAGTACAGCATTCCTACCATGTCTGGTGTCCAAGCGACTTGATGGTGTAACTATGTTGTCGATGCAGATTCGGGCGCCACTCCAAAGATGAGCCATCCATCTTGGTGCCATTAGAGCAGTGTTGCAGGTACAAATATGCAATAAATGATTATTTGTGCCGTCACTGTCTCCCAGACTTTTTTTTTAAGTACAGGTGCCCATCCCTGCGTGAGAAGTTCCAGTAAAAGCTTTAACCACAAATCTGATCCCAGTTCCCTCTTCCCGTTCATCCCTCTTCTTCTAGAATCCGTCGTTCCACCTGGCTCCGCCTGCGCCTCCTGTCCCTGCCGCAGTATCGCCTCAGTGACGTCATGCGGGCCTCACTTTCCCAAGACCCCCTGCATGGCGTGGCCCCGCTGCTGACAGAGCCTCATCTTTCTGCCCTCGATCGGCGCTTGAAAGCCGTGCTGGATGCTGTAAGTCGTTGCATGGAGAAGCGGAGTGAGGGCGGGGGTGCTGAGGTCATATACGACGACATCGGCCACCTGAAGGACATGTAGACTCCCGCTGTGTCCAGCCAACAATTCTTCAAAAAAGGCTTCAAGCTGTTTATTGCCTCTCCCAGTCAAGGTTAATTGTCATACTAAACAGATGTGTCTTTAAAACCAACCACATGACTTTCTTTGCCTTCGGAAAGTCCCCTAGCTTCCTGCTAACACAATGCAAAAACGCCATAGCTGGGCTAACGAAACACCAATGTTGCTCTGTTCTTATAACCTGCAAGCAGCAGATATTTGAACACAAGTAGCACAGCCCACACATGTAAACTTATAATATAAAAACTCACACGGGCATTTATTCGTTGTCCTCTCTGAAAAGCAGTAATATTGTGAAACTTCATTGAAACTCCAAATGCTTGCTCCACCCCCTCTACTGCAAGGCAAATGCCGAGTAATGTACAGTAAACATTCACTGGAGTGTTCAGTTTTACCGGTACATATTCTTCAAAAGGTTGAAAAGTTGAAGTTAAGGCTCTTAGTTGCTTTTTTAACCATTGTTACCACCATTTTTATGTATGGGTATAATAAAGCCAGTAGTTTTTAATCACAAAATCTAATGAGTCTGCGTCACAGCTCGTTGGCCAGCTGGCTCTCCTCTGCCTCCTTTCCTTTCAGGCTTGCTAATCAATAATTCACCTGGCAGCTCATATCGATGGCACTTGCTCCCTTTTCTCATGCCCTCGACCGCTTGCCCGCTCTAATCCACAGGCTGAGATGAATTTTCATCGCAAGGGGATCTGGTGAAAGACAAAAGGATTTTTTTTTTTTACGTTTTGAGTGTGTCAGACATTCGGAGGAGAGTAGAATTGAAGAAAAGAAGGGGACTTGTAGTGCTTCAGGTTGCTTACACACCCCATCGAAGTGCGCAAGTTTGAATGGGCGTACAGACTCCTCAAACTTGCTCTGTCCCCATTGTCCTCTCTTAAAGCTATTACATATTTGAATTTCATATTCGCTCTCCCGTCGGGCACCATGTCAGGAACCAGCAGTGACCAGCTGCACAGATCAACCTTATCTGTCTATTCTGTGAGTACCAACTTTTGTTTTCTGTCTCTCAACACATTTTGGTTGTGCGAATTAAGAGCAGAACTTACAGACGGTCATGTGGGTTTTTGTTAACTGTAGAACCTGATGGAACATTTCAACCCCGGCCTTCAGAAGCTCGTCGCGTTGGGTAACAGCTATGTCAAAGCTTTCCAGGGTAGGTGTGAACAGAGAAGAGCAAAAGGGATGAAAATTGAGTATAGATTGTGCAATGGTGGAGTAGTGGTTAACACACCAGCACACGTATTATACATTTTAATTTTGTCGTAACAATCTCAGAGTTTCCAACATGGTGTAACTGTTTCATATGTTTTCTGTGTGTTTTTACAGCATTAGGTGTTTGTAGTGAGGCCTACTTCAGCGCTGTAGCCAAAATGGGCGACCAGGCGATTCACACGCTATCTTCCCGCTCCCTTGGTAAGTTATGATGATAGAGGGGGGAAAAAAAAAAAAAACATCCTGTCATGACTGTACACTTGTGTAAGCGCATGAGTGGCTTCCATTATTTTCCACTCGCGTCACTTTCACGATGACCACCGGGACCTGTCGTCGTACTATTCAGTCCCACGTGGCTGGTGCTGTTGATGAGAGCGCACGTGCCTCTGTTACTTTAGATAACTTGAGAAGGTCAGCGCACTGCAGCTTGATGAGTGGCCCTATTGAGTGACGCACGCTAAATTATTGAGAGAGCTTTTTTTTTTTCTTTTTTTTTTTTTTTTAAAGACACGCTCACTCAGTCAGCCCCAATCTACCTTCCTGTGTCCACACCAGCAGCACATTGCTTTTGGAAGGTTTAATTTACCATTTGGTTGGAAGCCATTTTTATTTATTTATTTATTTCGTGATTTTTTTTTTTTTTTTTTTGTGACTTTTCAGATTTCTTTTTCCCCCCAAAAGCATGTCACACATTATTCTGCAGGTCACTTATCAGTTCAGACAGTTTATATGTTTTACGCTTGTTTGACGTAATTATTCTTATTTTTTTAAAGTGAACAGTGATCCATTATTTAGCATGTCTCCCTGTGTACTTATTGTGCTTCTCCCCCAAGTCAGCTCGGATATTGCTGGCATCGGTTCGAAACCTCACAAGCAAATTTTGGAAAATTCCATATTTTTCCAAAGTGTATACTGATAAATTATTGACAAATCTGAAGTGTTGAAAAGGACTTGCTCTCTTTGATGATGCAATGTTAATAGTTGAACAAACGTGCATTTTTGAGGTCTCCTGCAAAATGACTATTTTGGAGGTGCTAGGTTTTTCACTCGCCGCCAGTGATATGCTCCAGCTCACCCGTGAAGGCAAGCCCAGTGGAAAATGGATGATCCGATGTCACAATATTAACTGCACTTACCAGTTGTCCTATTCCAGGGGATGTCCTGATCCAGATATCTGAGACACAACGGAGACTCACTGCTGAGATGGAAGGAGTGGTCAGTACACATAATAACATTCTTAAATCCACACTTGCATCCTAATGACATGTACATATCGATGAAAAAGCCACTCAATCTGACGATGGAAATGATGGACTACTGATTCTATCGTTCTGCCTGCTGCAGTTCCGATGGTTCCAGGTGGAGGTGTTACAAGCCATGGAGAAGAATGTCAAGTTGGATGAAGAGTACATCGACGTGAGACTTTGTGTAGCGCAGGAAATGCCTTTTGCTGATGGTCACATTGTGTTTTGCGTTTGCAGGGGAGCCGGCGAGTGTATGAACTGGAAGTGAGGAACCAGGCGGAGGCTTTGGAGAAACAGCTAAGACGGGGAGCCTTCAGGGACTCTCTGGTCACATCTCGAGACATTATTTTTGGGGCACTGTGTTTTGTGCATGAAGTGAACACTGAGCAGAAACACAAGTTGTGTATGCACTTTGTTACTAGGAGAGCAGCGATTACATGCAGTACTTGAAGCAGAGCCAGCAGGAGATCCTGAAGGAGGAGGAGAGGCGATATCGTTTCCTGGCAGAGAAACACTGCGGTTTGACCCAGTCCCTTCTCTTTCTGGTCAACAAGGTATAAGCGCACATACATAGACACACAAGATGCAACTTTCGAGTAAGCAGAAGTTGTAGTGTTCTTACAAACGATGCAGAAACGAATCTCATGCACCTCAAGAAACTATTTGTCAAAGTCACAAACAAGCAAGGGCATGGCATTAAGAAGCCAACAGCTGCAGGCCCTTTTCTGCTTATTGCTGTTAGATCAGGCCAGAATTAATGAGGCGATCACCTTTCTCATATGAATTCAGACAGGCGTGGCTCTCCAGTATAAAGCAGAAGGATGGAAGGAGAAAATCAATGAGACCAGATCCGGGTCTCGGACTCCCACGAATTTGGACCAAGAGGCACAGGTATTATTGTCACTCGCTAGGGTGCACTTGTTCAAAGTAAAACGACTAAACTGCGTGGTCTCCCCTTCTGCTTCTCTGCAGCTGCGAGGCTCCGTGAGCTCCCTGCTGCAGACGGTAGCCAGAGATGACGACATGTCCTGGGCCAGGCGCGAGCAACAGGCGCTGGGCAAGGTGCCCTCGCGAGGTAGGCAACCAACTCTTTTTTTTTTGGAGCCAATGACACAAAACTTTTTTACCCTAAGTCTTTTTTTAGGTGGTGTTTGATGTAAAAAAATTTGAGAGTACAGTCCTGTTATTTCTATTGTTGCCAACAAAGTGTGTTGCTACCCCCTGCTGGTTGAAAGTGTTTCACGTGGAGGCCTCATATAATTACAAGTGTAAGCTGGTGTACCTGGTACTGTCATGGGAACAACTTTTGTGTAATAATCTCTGTCCTCTCTCCAAAACTCAGCACCATCACCCCTGCCCAGCCGCTCGCGCTCCAGCTCGGTGGGAGAATCTCTGGGTCTGGGAGGAGGGCGTCCCATGAAGGCCCTGGTGTCTCACCCCGCCTCATCCAACCCCAAGCTGCTTCCTTTCAACCGGGGGGAGACGGTCACCCTGCTGGTCCAGGAACCGCGCAACGGCTGGTTATATGGTCGCACCGACAACAGCTTAAGGTGCGTTTTCCTGGCTGGGAATGTGAGAGTTTTGAAGGAATTGTCTCATTCAATGGTTTGACGTTCTCCAGACAAGGCTGGTTTCCTGCTGCTTATGTGGGCCCCATAGATGATTTCGACAGGTGACATCATTTGAACACTTTTTTTTTTTTTGCTCACTTTCTGCAGTGCACGTCATGTGATATTCTTCTAACTTCTCAGTGCCGGTTCTCTCCGGAGTAGCAGTATGAACAACCTACTGGACCCCGGCGATACCCAAACTGACCAATCAGAGAGCAGGAGCTACGGCGATGTCCCACCGCCGGCAACGCCCAACCGTAGAGCGTCTGTAGACTTCCGGCCCGTTTCTCCTCTCCTCGAGAAGAAGGCGGAACAGGTGGTGGAGATGAAACCTATTCATACAAAGACCATACCTGAGGTACCGCCTCCTCCACCTCCACCTCCTCCTCTTCAGAATCTCCGACGGGGCTCTGTGGATTTGCGACCGCTTTCTCCTGCCCCTGACGCACAGGTACTAGAGGATATTGACATTATCAATGCTGAATATCATCTCCCCCCCCAAAAAAAAAGTGATTGAATCCTTTTTCTAGACTTTATCACCCAACGGCCCACCTGAGAACCCTCTATTTCCGAGGTAATTCAGTTGACAGTGCATTGTTTCATTTGACTCCCACTCGCGTTTTTGAGCCACGTACCGGTTTCACGTAATGACATATTTTGACGGGTTTCAAATTGACAGATGATGTTTAGTGTCGTTGTTGTTATGCTGGCTTTGAGTTACAAGGCTTCACATGCTGCCGTTCTCGCTTTCGCCGAATTTGTCAAAACTGCGATCCTTGAATCTCAAATGGAATCTTCAAAGCTCTATTTATGAGTTGGCCTCTGTACTCTGCTGATGGGTAGCCATGTTTGTACACACTACACGAAGCAACAACACTTTTCAAACGTATCAATCGCATACTACCTTGAAAATGCTGAGTTTCAAATGGAAAACAGGCTTGTCAAGTTGAGTTTCATTCTGTATACACTAATCTTTAGCCAAGTAAGTCCCAAGTCCCGGCAATGGTTAGTTTGGTAACTGAAGTCTTGAGCCCCCCAACTCTGGAGAGACCCCACAAGATGAGGAAAAACAGCAGCGCTACTCAGTGTTGACCACACAAAATAAGGATTTGTGATTGCAAATATTGTCAATTTTCTGCCTGTTTTCTGATCTGAAATGCAAAATCACTTAACACACCCCACACCACAGGATAATCGATCAAGGACAGTCCGGATCAATTGGCTCCTATTGACTTGACTTGACTTATTGGTGGTATGTGTGAACCCTGCTTTTGAAACACACTTGATGTCAGAAGTCTTGGGACACACATCTTAAATCAATTAAAACTCATTCAGTCCCAGCCAATTCTGGACCAAGTTTGAAAAGACGTTTAAAAACGTCTTTGGGAGTGAATGAGTTAAATTATTGATCAGAGCTCCTGGTCCTCTTAGGTCTTACTGATTCTTAAACCTTCAACAAGTCATGAAGTCATTTTGGATAGTTGGCTGCATCCAATTTCATTGGAGCAGATTGGGGGAGGCTCTTATGGTTCGCAAAGCGAGGTCCGATCTTTGCATCCTTTTGGTGTATTGGCCTGGCGTCCTAATTATCGCGTATGTCAGATTGAACAGAGGATGTGCATGCTCCCATATGGAATCTGAAAAAAGCAACTACTTTTTAGTCGAATTTTCTAGAATCGCAATATTTAAGAGCGTGGTCACATACTTGAGGTGCATTCTGAAGCTAAATGGACTTCTGGAGCTAGCCAGTCAACTATGTGCACGGTGTTATGTTTCCACCCAGGCGTGTGTGTGTGTGTGTGTGTGTGTGTGTGTGTGTGTGTGTGTGTGCGCGCTCGCATGGACAACAGTAAATGCTGCCAGGGATTGTGTGACATTTTCCATCATCCTCTCATTTCAGAGGCACAAACCCTTTTGCCACCGTGAAGCTTCGCCCCACCAAGACGGATGACCGATCCGCCCCTCGCATCCATTGATTGCACCAGGCCAGACTCCGGTTTGTACATGAAGCGGCAGTGATGAGACAAAACTGTGACAGGTTTAGTTGAATATTTACGCCAGCGTTTTTTTTTTTTTTTCATTTCATTTCATTTAGTACGCACCTGAATTGAAAGCATCCGCATGAAACACATTTTGTTTAGTTCTTAAAACTCCACTTGTCTCAAATACTTTCTTAATGTGTTTTCTATTTTGTAAACATACAGTATGCTGCGCACATTCATTTTCTATTCTGTAAGTCCTAAAATGTGATTAATTGAATTATGATTTGGAGTCTTTGACCCTTCACACCTTGGACAATGTTAATACCCATTCGTTATTTCAATGGTGATCGTATATTTTAATATTTAACGTGCTTGTTTTGAAAGTAACAAAAGAAATATCACTTACTCAATCACGCTTTTATTATCATTTCTTAATGTCTTCTCTCATTTCTTGGTTGTGTTTATTGTGTCATTTCGAGGTGGATTCGAGGGGGTGTGTAAGTGAAGAGGAGAAGGATGAAGGTGCACTGGCATGTGACCAAACCATGAAAATATGAAAAATAATCATTTGGAATACAACAGCACTAGCACCAAGCTATCTTTATGAGCTCATCAAGAATGATTGTTACCCGATACAGAAGTACATTTGATACCGAACAAAAAAAACATGAAACCCAAATCTGGTAACACCTCCTGTAGGATGCTGCCTGGTGTCGTGGGTGAGCGGTCAGGCCAGTCCCACTCCATGCGTAGGTTCCCCCCGGGGATGTGAGAGAAGTTTGATGGTGGCAGGTACAAACTATGAATTCAGGGAGGTGGAGAAATAGGAGGACGTCCCGCTGTCTCCTACTCATGCACCATCGCTTCAAACTCTGGTGAGGAAGAAAATGAATGAGACACAATTCGGGAACATGCACAGTATACCGCTATTGGGAAAAATCCAGTGGAATCTCCAAAGTGGAACACAACGGAGGCACTAAGAACGAAAGTGGCCGAGCTCTATTTTTGTCATTTTACAGGTGAACTGTCTTCGGGCAGTAGGCGGGGGACACCCTGAACTAGTTGCCAGCCAATCGCAGGGCACACACAGACAAACGACCATCCACGCTCACACCTAGGGACAATTTTTTTTTTTTTAAATAGTCAATAATCTAATTTACTTATTTCATGTTTACATAGAAAAGATGAAAAAGAATATGAATATTACATTTTTTTTAATACATTAATTACGTTTTAGTTTCTTGGTTGACGTTTTGTTTGAGCTGGATTTTCATTTTTTTCCGACTTAACATGGCATGGTGTCTCTTCTGAAGACTTAGTTTTGCTTCATGTGATTAACTTGCACGCCTCTTTTCCTATATGTTCTCGTCGTGACAGTAAAGGTTGTCATAAAAAGCTTCCCTTCTCTCACCGTCAATGCCGATCTTGCCGTCCCCGTCTTTGTCTGCGGCTTTGAGGAACACTCTTGTTTCATCGTCTGTCAAGTCCCTGCCGTCCTCTGAGAAGCCCTTCAGAACAAACCTGCAAAAGAGAAAATATTTCTCCGCAGCTTATATAAAAACACTTGGCAGGTATTTTCTCATGTTTGCCTCACTTGAGTTCCTCCTCTTCGATGAAGCCACTTCCGTCCACATCCAGAACCCGGAAGACCTGTTTGACGCTCTCGGCCGACATTGCCGTCATTCCCACCAAGTCGAAGAACTTTTTCGGGTCGAACGTCTCTGCTACTCCGCAAAACAAACAAGTCGGCCAAAGAGTCCATTAATATGCATCCAGTGGTCTTTCGGTACTAAGCGAGCTACCCACATACCAATAATTGTCCAGAATTTGAGCATCTTTGCTCTCTGCTGAGCAAAATCCGTTCAGGCCACTTGATTAAATCAATTAGGGTAAATTCAACAACAACAAAAACTTGTTTCATTTGTACATCATTAAACCAACCTTAAATATTCATCAAAGTCAACCCAAGTAAACATAAAATGCAGTTTCTAAGCAACTACGTTAATAAAGATAAAAGGTATGAGCTTAAACCCAATTGCGATGTTGTTATATGGCCTTAACATTTCAAGCTTGAAAACCCCCTTTGATGTGATAAATATGTCTATTTTTTTTCACAGTACTGCACACCAACCTGCAAAGGCATCAAGCGCTTTCTTGATCTCCTCCGCTTTCAACAGGTCCGTCATCACCATCCTGTCAGCTGGAGGAATGAACACGCAGAGGAAACGCATCAGGTTCACAGTGACTTGTGAGGACGGGACACGTTGCCATGGTAACATACAGCCCTAGATGCGAGATTCACTCAAGCACATTTTGATTTGTTGGTAGTTTCCTTAGTCAGTCCAGTGCCTAACCGATATCCATTAAACTTTGTAGCGTTCTGCACCATTCAACTTAAAAATTCTAAAAGTGACATTCGAAATACCTCAAGCCGGAGCCGTCCCACTTTCCCCTCTTTGGGCAGTTAGTTGCATAGTTTTGAAATGAACCTTTTCAGGGATAGTTACTACAGTGGACAGCTTACCATGTTATCAGGTTACGGGGTGTATGAAAGGGTTTCATATATATCCCATTGACGGTTATGTTTGATTATTTCATCAAAAGTTTGGAAATCATTTTGATCATGTAATTTGTTGACATTCCTATTGAACAAAATAGGTTGTTGAAAATTATACATTTTTTACAATGTCTCCAGACTTTAAAGAACAGCCATAAAAATCTAATTCCAAAAATGAATACTCAATTATTAACATACATTTTCATTGCACTCTTTTCAATAAACGACTATATACACAGTATCACAAAGTAACCCAATAGGCAAATCGAATTTTTTCAGATGTCGATTTTGCTATTCCAGCCGCAACAAGCCAAGCATTTACTGTAATTGGCTCATTAGCAGCCGAAGCTAACTACAGTCAGTAGCTTGAGTGGGAGACTGTTTGCCAAATATGCACGCGCACTAACCACGGTATATTTAGCATGCACACTAAGGCTTTTGCGTGTGAGGGCGGCCGTGGGCGCGTTTTTAAAAAGGAATCCACCAAGTTGTTGGCTGTTTGGCCTGTTACGCAGCCAGCCTCTTGTTATGTAATGACACAGTAAATTGTCAATTTCACATCTATATTGTAATCTGCAATGAAAAGTGATAAACTATTATAAACAACAGGTACTGATACACATGCTCAGTTCATCACAGATAATAAGTTCCAGGCCCACCCGCAAAATGTGAATATAGAGACCATATTAAAAATCTCCAGCACATTTATACATCCGTCCATCCAATTTCCAATCCACTTATCCTCACGAGGGTCTTGGGCGTGCTGGAGCCTATCCCAACCGTCCACCTTGAATTGTTTGCCAATATATTTTAAATAACATTTAAACTTATTTAAGACTGACTTTTCAAACACATTGTAAATAGTGGCAGCGACTGTGGCTCTCCTTCACCCCTTTTGAGGAAGTAAGAAGGCATATTCGAAAAAACACGTTAAAAACGATCGCCTAAAATTCATCCTTGGACCGGGGGCATGAATGATGAAATGCGATGTCGCAACTTAAACACATTATTACATTTTGGGGCGGGGGGAGTATATTTGGGGGATTTTTTTTTCCCACTCTTGAAACTGGGAGGTTGAAAGTAACCCAAAAGTGCTGGGTCAAAAAGGAAAGCCCAATTCCAACCTTCAACCCAAACTGCTCGGTCAAAATAATTAACCCAACCCTGGCTAAAAGCAACCCAACCTGCTCAAAATCCACAGCGAACCCACAGCGAGGGTGAAAACAACTCAGCGTTTCTTCGTGTGTTCACTTGCACATGCAAGCTTCAGTGCTCCCTCCCGGCCTTGACAGTGAATAGACGCTTGAAAACTCATTGCCCGTTATTCACAGCGAGCGGCGTCTGCCAGCCACAAGAAACTCAGCTTTTTTTTTTTTTTTTTTAATGTGTTGTGTATTTGTGTGTGCTTTGGCACATCTTTTCACTGCGGTGTCACACAATGCAGCCAAACACTTCTCTTGGGTTGTTTGTCCTTCACTTTGCATCACACTTCACGTTTGATTCCACTGCAATGAATTGACTTGTCAGCCATGACAAAGAAGTCTTTCTTGCACATTTCAGGTGGGGCACGAACATCACGATTTTCTGGATTTTATACTAAAATAATCCTTCCCCCATGTCAGTTTGTGCTACAATGTTATTTACCCGCGAGTGTGTTAGCTAATACTATTGCGGAGCCTCATTGATGGTGGTGTGTTGATGGTGAATAATATAGTACTGAATACAATTGTTTATGTAATATAAGTTTGATTGTGTACATGCGAGATGCATGGTGTTGATGGTTTATGATGCCCTCCGTTTGATGTGCTTTGTCACCATCTGTCATTTATACGTGATTTCTAACCATTTCACGTCTGCGTCTTCAGGGTTTTTTTTTTCTTCAGTATTCACAGCAGCGCTCGGTCACTATGAACGCATAACTAACGGACAACTAAATATATATTTTTTTCCTACTGATCACCACTGGTACATTTCAAGTGCACAACACTTGAATCGAATGCTTTCATTCATAAAAACATTTGATTTCAAATAAATACTGTATACTGTGAAGGAATTACATCTGTGCTTTGTTTTTGATGAACGCTTGGGCCTGCTACACTACTGTATTTTAATGTTGGTGAGTATGGTATGGTGGTACTTGGAGAGTTCAGTACTTTTGAGGTGGTGTAAACATTTTGGGAACCATTGACCGTTGCTATCCTGTATTTTCAAACTTTTTGGGGATAAATTAGCCTGCATTTGTCTTTATAATTGTAAAATAAAATATATAGTAAACAACAAATTAAGAAAAAAAATACTAAATGGTGTTGGAATGATGATATTAAGTACAGGTACTTCAACGACATGTAAGCATATCTCCATCAAATGAAATCAAACGATATATTGTTTTTGTTTTTATACTTCCAAACAGCAATTTCGCATATAAAAAGTTCTCTAACATAACAGATCAATTGTTATTAGTTGTACTGTATTTGTGTACTGAAAGTTCCCTTTTTTGGTTTATTTGAAAAGACGAGCACCGCATCAGACTTCCTGGTTGCTAGCCTCTCTCTGGTCCGCCCTTGGTCTTGTGTGCGGAACATCATCAGAGGGAACTCTCACTTCCTGATGCTTCTTTCTTTCTACTGCGGAGTCATTCACATTTTTGAAACCATTTTGCTTGCTCTCTCTGCCGTTTGCCACCTTTGGCCATGTCGCTACCGCCGCAGCAGCTACGCTACAAAAGGTGAGTTTACAAATGTTTCTTTCACTGACGGAGGTCCGGTGTGGGGCCACATTGACTCCGTGCGTGTCAGTGTTTTTTGTTTTTTTCACGTCGAAAGGAGAAACCACACCTTATTAAAATGTACATACTGTAGTTATACACGAATAATATTACAAATTTATGAATTGAGTTTAGTATATTTTAGAACGGTGAAACCATAGCAATCTAGAGTTCGCTATACAAAATAGAAGTTTATCATTATTAAAATAGTGAAGGTACTAAAAAATGGGACAATCCAGGTCATGTCTCGAGTAATACGTTAATATTTACACATGTTTTTGGCCGTTATATCTATTTCGAGTTTTTATTACTGTTATTTCTTCTGTTTTCTCACTTCTTGAACTTGTTTGGATCGTCTTAGCTGTTAGAAACATGCTTATTGTTACAATGTATTGCCACTTGCCAATTGTACGGTATAGAGTTTTCATTGAATTTGATTATTTCTTATATGACTATTTCATTGAACTCAATTAACCCTTGAGGATACAAATTACTAAAATGACAAAAAAATTTAAAAAATCAATTGTACACTTTGTGTTTCTCATATTTGCCAAATTATCGGTACATGGTATATGGAAATGTAAACTGTACTTTGACTGATCGTAACATGAAGCATTTCCTGTTACCTAGTGACTTTGACCAGCTGCCTAATAACGTCCCCATCAGCGCCACCATTGCGGATATCGAGGAAAAAAAAGGCTTCATCGACTATTTTGTAAGTTTGAAAACACAAAACAAAACGATACGGTTGTTAACATTTTACAGCGACTTTGAAAATGTCTTTTTCTTCCATCCACTATGGCAGAGGTTTGTTGTTGAGGTGAAAACCAAAGGATGGAGCAAGTATTTCATCTACAGGCGCTACCGTGAATTTTTCAGCCTTCACCAGATCCTGGAGTCCAGATACGCTCCAGAGGACCCAGACAGACCTGGTCCCAACACCTGCGTGCTGCCCACACTTCCAGGTATCTATTTAAAAATACCATCTCGGTCATGGCCATAGCTAGCTTCAGATGATTTATTCATTCCGGCATCCAGAAAGTTGAGTTGTTTGTTTCTGTGCCTGCTGTGTGCCCTCAGTCATGGTCATAGCTGGCTATATATGACTTATTAATTCCGGCATCCAGAAAGTTTTTTTTTTTGTTTCTGTGCCTATTGTGTGCAGAAAGTAGCTTAGAAAACAATTTGGCCTTTGATTGCGGGCTGCTGGAGATACGGCGCACCTGTTTGCTCAATCGGTGTTGTGGTTGATTGCGCCACAGGAAGCTTTTTAAACGCTTTGTACCCGGGAGAGAGCAATAACAGCGCTAAGAATGGCGACAAACATGAAAGTGATGGGGTGTTAGACATTTGTATTTCATTAGCAGTCGCAGTGACTCGAGCCAATCGCTGTTGTGTTTTCTTTGCAATAATTGGTTTATGGTTAGCCTATAAGCCGACTGTGTAATGAAGTCTTCAGCAAACTAATTGACAAATCCCCAAAGTTTACAACAGTGCTTCATCATTTTGCAACTACACCAAAAGCTCATCGAGAAATGATTCTGCGAGGAGGGCAATAACTTGCTGTTAAACTAGATTAAGTGCAGTGGAGAAGCTGTAATGAGAATCAGACAAACAACATCTGTATAGCAATAACTCAGATGTAAAAAATAAAATAATGACTTGGGCAATTACCGTATGCTATTAAGCTAACGAAATGCAAGCAAAAACCTTAGCTCCTCTGTTAGGAGTTTCACATGGCAAAGGTAGATTAAAAAGTGTGTATTTACATTTAAAGGAGATATATTGAAAACTGACTAAAAGAACAAAATAAAAGGTTTGTACAAAAAGTTGGGCCTCTCGACTGCCTGCCCACCCAACAACAAGTTAATCTTATTTTACTAAATCTGTTTTCTTTCAACACGAGTTGGTATTGCGGGCACAATTTGGAGGTGTTGCAAGGATTAGCTTCTGATAATCGTGTTCTAGTAATGTTTGGATATGTACGTGGCGTGAGGCATGTTTTGTCTTGCGCCACAACGCTACATTTGCTACAAGTGTAATTTGGTGACTTGATGAAATGTACCATCTATCAGTGTTTGACACGAGTCAACACTGGGCCTGCTACATAGCATAAAAAGATGGCTATGCTAGCTAGTGTTAGCCGTCACAATTTTATTAGCTTGCTATGGTGAGGTCCTGCTGTTGTGTACAAATCACGGCTCCTTTCGCAATGACAGACTATTTTTAACATCGGGTGGGTGTAACATTGCTAAGTAACCCGGTCCAATGAAAAAGCTACTCTTCTTGCTTTTTATTTGAGCTAGAAAATATATATATATATATATATTTTTAAGATCAGTATTTGGAGATACCGTACACCCTTTCCATTGCACAGCAAGCCATTTAGCCAAAACATCTCTATGTTGACCATCTGAGCTAAAAGTCCTATTTCTTCCTTCCCACAAGATTTTTGTCTTTTAATTTTCTTGGTTGGAATTTCATTCAGGCACTATTTGAATAGAACATGACCCATAGTAATCATTTCAGATCAGTATTGACTTTTTGATTTCTACATTCAGGTTGAGATTGCACCTTTTGGGGAAGTCAAAAGTAGCTAAACCTTTAAAAGCACTTTGAATGTATGCTACCCAATCACGATTTATCTTTTGCGTAAAAGGAATACATTACGACTTCAATCAGTCTCCCATCACCGAATGGGAGGACTGAGGGGTAGGGGAGGGAGGGAGCATTCAACTTTCTACAAACTTTAGCATTTGCCATGGAGGAATCCGCAGGATAATATTAGATCTAGCTCATCAAGCTGGAAAGGGAGACCGAAGGAGAGACATGGGATGATAGGATGTCAGGCGGCAGGATGAAAAAAAAAAAAAACGACATATGGTCTTGTCGGGCACTTTGAAACAAGTCATTAAAGAGCAGAATGATTCTCCTTTGGCGAGACATTTTAATGTAATTCAGGATTTTCCAGCCATGTGGCTTTTGTGAAACAAATCACTGCCATTACAAAGATGAAGGTTAGAAAAGACAATTTGATTCGATTCAAACGAACTCGTGTCGCAGAGTGGCTGAGTCATTTACTGCTTTAGTGTGAATGAGAGGAGGAGGAGGAGGGGGAGGAATTGATTGAGTGTGAGCTGAACATTAAGGCCGAGGGTCATTAGGAGTGGGCTAAATGGGATTTAATAACAGCATTAAATGGCCTTGGGAGTGATTTAGTCGGCGCCGCCTTATCCTTCCTGGACCGAGAAGGGTTGTGTCATCTTTAGATTTTTGTCTTTGTTTTCATCTGTGCCTCATTTTAGAAACCGGTGAGTACATACTGGATATATATTTTAATGTTGGTCACGACCGCTAAGTATTTTTTTTAGTGGTACTTCGAGTAAAAAATTGGAGAACTACAGTACTGATAAGGGAGTTTCAATGGCATGCACGACTTGTCTGCAACCAGCAGAGGTGCTGTTGATTCACTCTCAAATCGGATTACAGGGTGACTGCCAACTTTCAAAGACAGACTGAGTTCGAATGAAATTGAACATAACATGAATTTTCAAAGGGCAGAAATAATTTCACATCAAGCAGCAGTTTGGATAATCGTGAAAAAAAGTGCATTCTTCAAGCTGTTTTATCACCATTCCCGATTTAACTTTGCTGTCAAATTAGTCATGAAATAAAGAATTACATGTTTTATATTTAACCAAACTACATAACTGAAATGTCCACAAAAAAAAAAAAAAAAGGCAAAATGCCACAGACAGGCAAAGGAAACTAGCATCGACTTTGAACTGTTATAACCCTTAATGCACAGGTATCAAACTCAAGGCCCGGGGGCCAGATCCGGCCTGCCACGTCATTTTATATGGCCCGCGGAAGCAAATCAAGCATGTCAACTTGCATGATGCTTGCTAAAATCTAAAAAATTCTCATCTGTAATAAATAAGAGACATATTGGAAGCATTTTCTTGGAACCAAACCCCTCATTACATTAACAAACAATAGTTGAATAAACCGTTATTATTGACTTTTTAAATTTGGTTTCAGTCATAACGGCCCACCAAGGGAAACGATAAATAAAATGTGGCCCACGACAAAAATGAGTTTGACACCCCTGCCTTAATGCAATGGATATTGGAACACAGACGATGCAGTAACACACGTAGACAAGTAATTTTACATTACCCACAGAGGTATACTTTAAAAAAAAAAAAAAAAAAAGGTTAATATTACTGCAGCTTACTGACCAGTATTGACGATCTGTTTAAACTGTTTAATTCTTTGCATTCTATCTTTCATGATGTTTTCATTTCTCTGTCTCCAGGGAAAGTGTTCATCGGCAACAAGCGGGAGATCGCGGAGAGCCGAATCCCCGAGCTGAACACATACATGAAGGTAATCGCGGCGCTCGAGTCAGAGCAAAGTCTTGTTGCGCTCGCTCCAACTTGTGCGCCTTCACCTATAAGTGGGCTGAGTGATGCTGTAGGTGGATGCCGCACTTTTACCGAAGCATCAGTTTGCAGATGAAGCTGCGCACGTAGGCGTCGCCTCTTCTCTCCCTCTCTTTCTCTCTTTCTCTTTTCTCTCTCCTTGTGCCCCGTGCCCACATCACGCCCGACTGACAGCAGTTGTGGGACTTTTGACACGTTGCGTGCAGCCCAAAAAACAACACACCGTTCCCCTCAGATTCCTCCTCTCCTTTCCCCTGCAGAGGCTGTTGGGTCTGCCGACGTGGTTGCTGCTGGATGAGGATCTCAGGATGTTCTTCTACCAGACGGAGCAGGACAGTCAACACCAGCCTCGAGCTCTCAGGCGTCTGCGACCGCCCACCCGCAAAATGTGAGCCCCTCTGTCCATATATCTCATTAAGCACCACCGGTGGAATTGGTCAAACCATTCTCAAGATGACCAGCAAAGTTGCAATTGCGCTCACAAGCCCCTTCAAAACCTGTATGAATCTAATTAGCCGTGGAAGCTGCAGTTTGTTTGGCTTTCCAAGCAATTTCCCCAAAGGAATTCGTGTTCAGTGTCTCCTTGAAATAGAGTCAAACACTCACGGATTCTATTTTCACAGATGAGAGCGTGCAGATATTTCTGTCGTACGCAAATTTATGTGCAGGCTCAAGGCTCACATCGGATTTGTGTCTGGAACAAAATGAGAGCCCTCGTTCTTGACATTAACGAACTCGCTGCCAGGCGCGATTCAGCATTTGTGAAATTGCTCGTTCACAGATTTTTGGGGGATCTGTCCGAATGCACAAAACGCTCAAACCACGTCGTCTTCTCCCACTCACTTGCCGTGCTTGTTTGGCCGCAACCTACGTGTTGTTTTTTTTCTCCTCTATCTTGTTCTGCTTCGCACCTTCCACCTCGCTAGACTCCCACAACCCCCCCCCC